ATATATATATATATATATATATTTCCCCAAAATTATGCTACCCACGAAATCTTAAACCACGAGCAGGGCGAAGAGAAATGACTTTCTGAACACACCCAATTGCTTTTGGCCCTGGATCAAAATCACTTTAATCTAATTTGACTTAGGGTTAAAGGTTTTAAATCGAAATACCTGCCAAGGTAAACGGAAAACAGCAGACAGCCGATAGCAGAAGAGAGTAAAGTTACGGGTAAGGAAAAGTTTGGTGCTAAGTTAACTACCGTAGAAGTCATAGGCCTAATGTTTAATATGTTTGAGTAAAACTAACAGTAGAAGAGGAGAGGAGAAGAATAATTTATTCCATCAAAGTGTGGTTCTAAAGTAATTGAATCAGCGTGGGTGCACTCTGACAAAAAGAACAGAGGATATTTAGAAGAAAGAAGACCAAAAATTATCGGTAACTCGTGCCAAAATTGTAAGTGAATCATACACAGAATACTAGTCCGATAGTAATACTAATAGAGAAGATAGTTCGGCTTGTCAACTGAATTCTAAAGTAAATGAATAGGCCTAAGTGGATTTTTGATAACAAGAAGAGAACTATTGTATATAGTTTTTATGGTATGCCTATAATCTCTATAGTGTGAAGAATTTGTTGTACATACATTTAACTTGTTCTAAATATATTGTTACGTCTCCGTTTGTTAATTGATTTTTTTCGTAACTTTGTTCCGACGAAATTTTAACGACACAAGTCTTTACTTAATAAAACTGGTTTATTCTTTCCGAATATAACTTTACCGAAACACTCAACTTCAACAATCGCGCTAAAACAAACGCTATATCAACAAAAGTCAGAAGTATTATTGACGGTCACATGACTACTGTGACGCAACGTTTCTAGAACTATCATGTACTTTGGCGAATGTTCTAGTTCTTACTAGATATAGGGTAGGCTGGTATATAAAAGAGGGGAATGTAATGTCTGGGTAGATAGTGTGTAATTGATCTGCTCGATGACGCAACAATATTTTATATTTGACTATAAATGAAATATATTTTTGCTTGCAGGCAGTGTTCACAGTTTGGGTCAAGTGGCCACTGTGTTGCCAGGGTTATTGTTTCATTAGCCAAAACCAAGCATTATCCACATAACCAATACTGAATGTTACATGAATGACCTTCAAAATTAGTACAGCGAGACAAGTTCTTTCTTAATAAAAACTGGTTTATTCTTTCCGAATACAACTTTACCGATACACTCAACTTCAACAATCGCGCTAAAAAACGCTATATCAACGAACGTCAATAATACTTCTGACTGCAGTTCAATTACTCACTATCTACACACACATTACATTCTTGCAGTCATGTCTTGACCGTCTTATATATAAAAGAATACCGAAGTCTAGTAACCTCCCGAGAATTCACTAAGCTTCGAGAATATGACGTGTTACTAGCGTCACGTGACCTCGATGACGCAACACTGCCCCTCCCTAGTATTGTTTGTCCCGAACAATAACCACATACAATAAACCAATAACAATTACCAATAACTTAATTAACTGTACAGAATTATAAACACAAAATTACAATTCAACAAAGTCTCTTAATTTTACGGGACGTATCTTCTTCCGTACTGGTCTCCGTCTTGTTGGATTCTGCTTCATGTGGGGTTCATCTGCTTCATCAGGAAATATCCTATCATCGGTAACAGTCACATTAGTGGTTGTAACTTCATCAAGAGCTTCACCATTTCCTTTCTCAAAACTGAGTAGAGTTTCTTCTTCGATGGTGGCGTCTTCAGCAGCGTCATTTGTTCTGTTTTCTAC